AATCAAGGAGGCACCTTAGTTACACATTTTGTATGCTGGTTGACCCCCAATCGTCTTTTACGTTAAATATAATGTATCTTTGTACAATGTAATATGTATTTGTAATGTATATTGTGTCTATGTATTTGAAACATTTGAATGGACTAATAAAGGTAGCTGTAAGTATTTCTGTTGAAGTACAATGTCGTTTTGACCATAATAATATACCAAATCTAACTTGTATAAATATTACATAGAAAAATACTATACATACATTTATAGGTGAAGTCGAAATCTGTGACACCAAACTTCCCTGTGCAAAGGATCATGGGGACCCGAAGTGTCCATCAGTTGTACCCTTCGAAATCCTTCATTTCGAAGGGCCCCTTTGAAGAGGCCAGTTTTGAGCACTTCGGTTTGGAACGACCCTTATATGGCGGCCATGATTGTTTTCACTCCGAAGTGCCCTTCAGAGGGCGATATATCCCGTTTGGAATGCACCGCTGATCTCTTCATGGTAATTTACCGGTAATAGAGTATATGTCGAACGTCACCTGAGCAAACCCGGAAAACAGGTCTCACCGCTTCCGCTTGTCGGAGAACGTGCTAACAGCCGTAATAAATAATATCGATATCTATGGACTTTTAAGATAATCAGTTAAACTAGCAAGCTGTTTTTATGGTTGACATTTTATTACAATTTTATATCTAAAAAACGTTTAGATATCAGTCTGCATATGTGATGGACATTGGTTATGATAATCTTTGGTATCTACTTTGAAGGCATCTTGAGTAAAACTGCTTCATATTTAACGAAGCATATGCAAAACGCTTGAACGAGTTAACAGAATACGGAAGTCTGTTGCGCATAACCCCTATTTATCATTAAAGTCTGCTTTTTGTGTGAAATGGACTAATGTGCATGTGCAGTCCTATGCACGCGTCTCTCAACCCTGATAAAGCAACCGAGCTTGAAGTGCCCCGTTCACACCGCCAGCGACTTTTTCGCTGCTTGTCGCTTGTGGCTGGCAATTGAGGTCGCTAGTGGGCGTTCCCACTACTGGTTGCCTAGTTACCCCCGTAACACTCCACTACAGCAGATGAATCACGTGCTCTCCACTGACTTCACTCCCATTGGTTGTCGCTCGTGAAATTCGCTGCTTATTTGCATAAAGTTGAAGAATTCTGAACTTTTGTCGCTTGACTCGCATCGCTTGACGCCCACATTCCGTCGCCAACGGTCGCTCTGTCGCTGTGTGATTGGCTCTTTTATTTATAACGCGTTTCACTTTCTTCCATTCACAAGTATTATGAGTGCGCCGCATTCTAAAGTCTTTGAACGGACTCACGTTCTTTTAATTTGACAGCTTCACCAGACGCTAAAAAGCAGCAAGGTCAAATACGGCCATCTCTAGCACATATTTACGTAGAAATGTTGTGAGGTAGGCCTTAATAACTTTCGGTTTGAATGTTTTAGTCCAACGAATGTCCTTCGGTTTAAATGTTTTAGTTAAACCCACATTCAACAACTAGTTTCAGGGAGTCAAAATATTTTGTGGTCGAATGCTAGATGGTTCTTTGTGTCTCCATGGCAATACTCACTGGCAAGTCTTCATAAACACAGTGTATGACATGTCCTGTAATCCAAGCTGTCTATGGCATGGCTCTAATGATATGTTCTGAAAGATCCACAAGTATGAGTATGGATGAATAATGACTAAATTCTTCCCCTTGTGGCAAGGTTTGTTACTGCCCCGCTTTTTTGCAATGTGTTATAGGCTCTATGATTTAAAACCTTATTTTTGGCTTTAAAAACATTTAATTATAAGGCACTGGCTGCGAGAAATACTTTATCTATTGTGCTGTATATCTTTGCTCTCTACAGAGACAGTTTGGAAGAGACAAATTATCTGGTACTTCCTCTGCAGGAAAGGTGGGTAGACAGAATTCTCCCCCCATCAATCTGTGCACAAGCTTTGAGACCTGATGGAAACACATAAACATCAGCTAATCTAGGATTCTGTGGTCTTTGTATGCCTGTAGTTTAATTCATGAACCACATATTAGCTATCCCATATGTAAAGTATTTATTTTATTCAAGTGGGAATCACATATTTTTATTTGACGTACTAACAGTAAATCTACATCAATATTTTTCCCATATCTGGCTGTAGGCTACATCTGGATTCTGTTTGGAGTTCAGTTGAAACTACAGTAGATGACAAAACTACAACTACAGATCTATTCTTTATGAACATCCTTAAAGGTTAAAATAAAGGCCATTTTGCAATTGTATGTAAACTAAAAATGAAACTTCCAATTTTAATAGGAAAACTAAGACAGAAAATAATGTTCAACTCAAAAAATAAAAAAATAAAAAAATATATATACAGTGGTGTGAAAAAGTGTTGGCCCCCTTCCTGATTTCTTATTTTTTTGCATGTTTGTCACACTTTAATGTTTCAGATCATCAAACAAATTTAAATATTATTCAAAGATAACACAAGTAAACACAACATGCAGTTTTTAAATGAAGGTTTTTATTATTAAGGGAAAACAAAATCCAAAACTACATGGCCCTGTGTGAAGAAGTGTTTGCCCCCCCCTGTTAAAACTGTGGTTTATCACACCTGAGTTCAATTTCTCTAGCCACACCCAGGCCTGATTACTGCCACACCTGTTCGCAATCAATAAATCTCTTAAATAGGACCTGCCTGACAAAGTGAAGTAGACCAAAAGATCCTCAAAAGCTAGACATCATGCCGAGATCCAAAGAAATTCAGAAACAAATGAGAAAGAAAGTAATTGAGATCTATCAGTCGGGAAAAGGTTATTAAGCCTTTCTAAAGATTTGGGACTCCAGCGAACCACAGTGATATATATATATACTGTATATATATATATATATTGTAACTTATGAAGATTTATAGTTAATAAACTGTTTGAAAATGTACCATGTAGTTCATATAATGTAGTCTATTGTTTTAGATCTAAAAGAAAACGTAAACCTTAACACAGAATATGTATACATATCATAAAAAAATATATCAAGATGATTAAGGCTCGTTACTGGAAATACATTTTAATCAGGCACTTTGTCAAATACAAAAACAAACTAAAAAGTATGTTTCAAAGGTTTAAGGTGGAAACTGAACAAAATTCAGTGTTTTCTGATCATCATTTACAATAAAAACACCATTGTTTATCATATCAATGCCCTTTGGATTATACTGGGTACAAAGGTAAGACAAATGGCTGGCCAGTTTTTTGGACCACAGTACTTTTTAAAAGTAATGTAAACAGATTTCATTCATCTATAACAACTGAACAGTGACTTGAACATCATGAGAAACTTTTTAAATGAACACAAAACAACTGAACATTATTTATTTTCCTTTGAGGCAGCATGAATATAACACATTCACAGTTACAAGTGAGGAATTGTTTGTGTACAAAAGTGAAATATCTGCCATAAATATAGGATTCTTAAACAAGGAGAGATATATCCTAACCTCAGAAAATAATGGACCATAACTTTCAACTATAATACTGAAATGCTCCTGTGACCTTGAGGATCTGAACAAAGAAAAATTTTAACAATCACTTATGATTTTCTTCAATAGGCACTGTGGATTTTCAAAATAAGAAAAAAAAGTTAAAAAAAGTTTTCAATGGACATCAAAATACGCTGACAAAAACTGACTCAACATTTCATTCAAAAAAGCAAAAAGCAAATACTGTCTAAAAGAGAATTTTTAGCACAGAAATAAAGTATGGTCAAATGGCAACATTAACAATCATCTTTAAAGTGTTGGAAAATAATTTACAAAAATATGTTTCACAATCTTGTTAAAAGAATGTTCAGTGCCGCCATTATTTAGTTTGAAATTGTACAAACTGTACATTGTAGAAACAAATATATCATTCAAATCAAATCACCAGTGCTTTTCAACAAATATGGGTGTCATAACATTATTTAGCCATGTAATTTACATACATAAAAACACTAATCAAGCATTTTATGGTATAATTAGCTAAATTTACCAATTGTTTTCAGTAACAATTGAAAGATGCTACAAAAATTAACCTATAAATGTAAGTACCTAGAGACTAGGGAGTAGTGGAAATGTAAGTGAATCTTTCTTTTGGTCAAATTAAGTATATTATTGGATAACTTGATGCATTTATTCAAACATAAAAATCCAGTAAAAATGATCAGTCTAACCTATGCCAAAAAATTTTTTATCAAAAAGTTATCAAGTTATCAGTCTATATATTGTAACAACATCATAACCATGTTCACTGGCCTTGAGAATATTTGTGTTACAATCTGTGTTCAAAGAAACACTTGAGAACAAACATGAGTATAAAAAGGACAATACATTATTTCCAGTTACACTGACAGCTCTTTCAAGGTGCTGTTAAGAGCTGCCATGACAATCTATTCCATTTCTGTTATTGTTATTTCTTTGCAGTTTTTCAAATTCCTGGCACAGATAGCTTGTGTTAGCTAATTAAGTAGTAACTTGGTGCTTGATTTTAAAACTTTTTTGTTTTTGTATATTTAGTTTAATAAGCTACAATTGTGTTCCCATTAGTCAAGCTAAGGGAGGGGAAGCAGCATGCGGAACTCAATATGATCACTGTGGTCTGCAGCATAAATTTAAAAGACTGTGTACATTGGTATTTTTGCAGATACTGTACATTTTTTTACTGTTTTTTTATATATATAAATACTGACAGAAAAACACATTTCCCAAACATTTAAGAGCTTAATACTGAACATACGGCAACTGTTAATAAACTAAAACAAGCTCTGATAACAAACATACTGTTACGGCCACATATATACAAATATAAATGTATGTCAATAAAATCACGGATTATAGCAACCATTTGACATATGTCATTCTTTTTAAACAAAAAACATCAGTACAAAAATATAAAATACAAAAAGTGTTTTTTTCTTAGAAAACATTGACATCAAATATAACTGTCCTTTAAAATGTGCAAATGCTGGGCTAAGTGAAATGCCATTTGATCTTCAGTATTTTTAGAACAGCATTATAAAATAGTCATTTTTACTTCTTTTACAACTCAAGTCAGTAAGTCTAAAGAAGGGTGACAAAAGCACCGCTTTCTGAAACATCTGGCCAGCCAGTGGGGCAACATTACATACAACATGATGTTGAGGACTATGCCAGAGGAGAGGCATTTTTAGAGTACCTGAGCAGGTGGGAATTCTTTCTGGTGAGCTCTCCTTAGACAGCATTAAATCCTCAGTTCTGTCTCATGTTCTAAGGAGTGCTCATTTGTACTGATAATGGAGGAAGAGTGACCTCCAAAAGGAGTAATGGCTGGGGAATGGGCTGCAAGTGGCGAAAGTGATGGAGAAAAACTTGGAGACATGGCTATTGAGGAAACAGAGCCATCATGGTCAATGGGAGATCGCCGCAATAAGGACAGGTGAGGAAATGTTCGGCCTACAGCAGGTTTCGGCAAAACAGTTTTAGCCCCTGGATGAGCTACAGAGGTAATAAGGGGAGGAGGGTCAATTCTGGGCTTGGAATCAGTTTTTGCTTTGGGATGAAATGGGCGCCGAGGGTTAGGTGGCGCGTTCTCATCTTTTAATCTGGCAATTTCTGTAAAGACATTAGCCAGAGGCTGAAATTGAGGGCACCAATCGAGGAGGTAGTCCCAGTTGTAGCTGCCCCGCAGTTCCTCGTCGCTAGCCACAATTGCTGTAAGAGAACCATCTACAGCGGGCTTACCATCCTCCGGGAAAGCATAATCTTTTGGATGCGAGATGTTAAGCCCTCTTCCAACCCCGAGATAACCACATCCTTCATCCCGATAAGTTGGCAACTGGCTTGATAGTAGTGTCCCACTTAAACTTCCCAGTTTTTTCACTTTAAACCATTGGTTTGCATCCATCCCGGGCTCACAGGAAATGTCAGACAGCTGGTCTGCATCTTGCTGGATCCCAGAGTCGGGCCCACGAGCAGCTATGTGCTCCTGCATAGAGGAGGAGATGCTGGAAACTTGAGGATACTCATTAATCATCCGGATCTCATCATCTTCTGCTGCTTCAGCTTCGGCGGAACCACGCCCACTGGAGTGAGATGGGTCAAGAGACCCACCTCGTGCATAGGTACCTCCTCCGCTCCCAGTTTGTTCTGTTGCATACCCAGGAAGAGTCTGATGATACAGCTTATCACCCCCTGGAACTTTCGAATCTTCAAGACTCTCCAGAACGATACCGTGGGTTATGATTCTGGTGCAAGCCTCTTGTTCTTTGTACCTTTGGGATCTCAAGAGGAATATCACCACAACAACTATGATAAGGAACACAATGGCTGCCAAGGAAGCTGTTATAGCACTGGCAAGCACCACATTTATGTCTCTGTTCAAGCCGAATGATGTATGGGTGACATCAATTGTGACTTGGGCAGAAGCTTTTCGGGAATTATCCAAAGGACTGTGGGCAATAACATCCAATGTCATCTTCCGTGTCTCTCTTTTGGACCGGCTTATATGTCGATGATATGCATCCATCTTGAGGGATATCACTCCTGTAGATGTGTTGACCTCAAAGTAAGGTGAACTGTTTGCGAGCGTGTAGAGGACAATGCCGTCCACCCCTCCATCCTCATCATTAGCATTTACTTGGCCAATGCTTTGCCCTTTCTTGGCACCCTCAGGTACATGGAAGGCGAAATCTGAGTTAGTGAAAACAGGATCGTACTCATCTTCACCAGTCACAAAGACTTGAATTGTGACTGTGGCTGAGTAGTTGCCTGCATCCATTGCCATAGCAATAAAATGGAAAGCATTAACCTTCTCAAAGTCAAATGTAAAGCGGGTTCGCACCTCACCAGAGGTTTGGTTCACTAGGAAGGAATCTTTTCCATTGCCGGAATTGTACATGAGGAAATATCTCAGTTCTCCGTATGCTCCTTTGTCATGATCAATGGCATGTAGTATGGTAACTAGAGCATTCTGGGGCTGGTTTTCACGAATGCTTGCTGTGAGTGATTTAAGAGGGAAGTAGGGCCTGTTATTATTGATGTTCTTGACCTCGACAGTTACAGGAGCAAGAGCAAAGTGGCCCTGACCATCCGAGGCCTGAATGATGAACACGTGAGAGGACTGTTTCTCACTATCAAGAGACCTCCGCAGACGAAGGGACCCAGTCCACCGATCTACAGAAAAGAGCTCAGACTCGTCTCCAGAACTGATTGAGTATTGAACCTCTCCATTAGCTGTTGAGTCAGGGTCCACTGCAAAAAGTTGAAGTATTTCTTTTCCTGTTTCTGTTCCTTCATTTACAATAACATTGTACTCTGCCCTACTGAAGGATGGAGGGTTATCATTGGTGTCCATTACAGTGACTAAAACTGGAACACTTGAGCTTCGTTGAGGTATGCCACGATCTGAGACCACAATAGTGAGATTATAGCCATTCACACTCTCAAAGTCAAGCTTATCAACTAATATCAGTGTTCCAACTGTCCGAAATCCATGGCCCTCAAGGAAATGAACACTGCTCTCAATTTGGAAGGCATTACCAATGTTTCCACTGGCAATGGCGAAATCAAACCCGCAGTTGTCTCTAGATAAGTCCCCATCCACCGCTTCCAGGGTTAAAATGGTTGAACCAGGAACTTCGTCTTCAGATACAGAGGCTCTGTACTCAGTCTGGTGGAATACAGGCTCATTGTCATTGACATCAGACACATGCACCTGAACTGTGGTAAGGGCGGTCAGCGAAGGTGTTCCACTATCACTGGCTTCAATCACCACCAAAACGGAAGGGCGTTGAGAGTCAAACTCAACCTTCTGCTTGATGAACAGAGTACCTATGTAAACAAATTACATTATAAGATAAGATACATAATAAGGTAAGATCAAGGCTTTTAGTACATGCTTAAAAACAGTGGTTCTCTCAACTTGTGTGTGACAATAATAATATCCTGGACAGGGTCCTGGAATGCCATGCATCCATCTCTAGAGTCCTTAGGCATAAACTGATCTGTCACTTGTAATATGGCTAATAGTAACACAATATTTGGTGTGGTGTTTTTTTTTTCTTTAGGCTAGTAAATCACACTTCTTCTGTTGTTTATAATTAGCAAACTTTCCAGTTAATTTTTTTCTACTCATTGTCATAATTTTGCATATCTTGGGAACTCATGTTGCTTTAGTTTGATTAATAAATTTGATACTGTATCAGATTGCCACTTGATGTACTAAAACGTGGGACCTGAAGAAAAACCTGCTGAGAACCACTATGCCAAAAAACACGTTATGTCTTGTTCCTTAAAAATAAATTCTACAAGACTTCTGACAATGATTCGGATGAAAAAAATAAACAAAAAGAAAATAATAACAAAATGACATATTACCATTACTTGGGTCAATGTAGAACATGTCCTTTGTTGACACAACCCTGTATGTTATCCTTCCGTTCTCTCCAGAATCCTTATCTGTAGCAGTTACTGTGATAACTGAGCTTCCTGCTGGCAAGTGTTCTGCTAGAGTCAACTGCCAAAGACATAAATCGGCCTTAACACTCATGGCTTTGAGCAGTACACAGCATCAATTTATTTTTATTTAAAGGGTAGAATATCAAAGCCAGTAATCAGTTATTATTACAAGGCTCTCTGAAAGTCTCTTCTGATTGGTCAAATAACTGTTTACTACATATTATTCAAACATCTTGGGTTTAATTTTGAAATAAACTACAGAAATGTACTCTTTATATCAATATTCATCCTGAACCTGTGATTTCTCCTAACGTACCTCGTAAAGGTCCTGGGAGAAGACTGGAGCATTATCATTCACATCCTCCACAAGCACGGTCAGATTTGCGTAACTCTGTTGCTTGGAGTCCGAGGAGCTGATGGTCAGCGTGTACCATGTTCTATCTTCAAAGTCCAAAGGGGCAGTCAAGGACACCCCTCCTCCATAGCGATGTATTCCAAACTTCCCTTGAGTGTCTGAGTCCAGAAGAAGGGAATAGGAGAGAGCAGGTCCAGAGTCCACATCATTCCCTGTGACCTGAGTGATCACAGTTCCAATCAAGGTATCTAGAGAGAGAAATACACAATATTGATAACCCAGTGTAAAATGATATTTATTGTTTCCGTTTGTGGTTGCACCTTTCAAAAGTATTACATTTTACTAGACAACGCCCACCATTATTGGACACATTGTACAACATCAGTGACAGGAAATAACCATTAAGGACTTTGGCGAGAAAATGCCTGGTAATTGAGTCAATCTTTCAGTATGGTGTGCCTCATTGTTTGTCTGCCAGAAAAAATAGGAAATTTAGTTAATTGATTACAGGAGTGATATGGAGTTCAAACAGCAGTCAACTTACTCTCAGGGACCCGGACTTCACGTGGAACAGGGATGGTGGGACTGTTGTCATTCAGGTCTACAATGATCACAGTGAGAGTGGCAGAACCTGCTAACCGAGGACTGCCTCTGTCCGTTGCCATAATAACCAGGCTGGAGACACAACAACATAATTAGAGCAGAGTATGGACATTCTCACAGACTATTTTTATGTTGACGGGAAAGAAATTTAAGATGTTTTAAAATGCAAACTCTAAAAATAATCAAAGATAAAAAGCATATTTATTGATTAATTATCAGAGTATATAAAAGTTTAAACCACATCCATGCAACTGCCTCTACAGAAGTGTCATTCCGTCAACAAATACATGGGCATGACTTTTTTTCTTAGCTATTTAAAATATTTAAGTTTTTTTTTATTTAATTTTTTAAGTGAATTTAAGACATTATTTTTCAATCACTCCTTTTTAAGGATAAAAAGGTAAAAGGAAACGATCTTAACTGCTATAAAAGCAGATGGAAGAACTTAGTACTTGGTCTGTGTCCAGATCTCTCTGTCCATGATGGCAGCAGTGGATATACTGCCTGTGACAGGGTCAATCTTGAAGAGGCCGCTCATAGACGATGACCTTATAGAGTAGGTCACCTGCCCATTCTGACCCTGGTCCAGGTCATTCGCCAACACCTGAGGAAATTACCGGTGAATTTGGCAATGAAAATACAGGCAGATTTGCAACAGCTGCTCGAGCGTAACATGAACCTCTAAGCAATGTTGGGCTTGGAACTCAAAATATTTAGAAAAAAAGAAGTTGAAAAAGGGAATTGGTTGTGGCTATGTGGGACAGCTGAGCCTATATTCTCACCATGGACAATGAAAACATTGTGGGAGACGCAAAAGAAACTCTTTTGGCTTGCACTGAAAATATGCTGTATTTAGGCCAAGGGATGTTTTACTCCACAGCTTTTATGAAGACTCAACCACTGAGAAAACAAATGGCAGATTACTGTACCTGAATGATAGAATGATCATAGCCCTGGGCCTCACGAACATAAGCAATGTAATTGTGAAGTTGAAAGTGTGGTAAGTTGTCATTGACATCCTGCAGGAGAAGGTTGACTGCCATGAAGGAACTGGAGGATGCAGTTTCAGCCTTGACCACCAGGCGGAGTCGTGGGGTCTCCTCAAAGTCCAGACCTTTGGAGCTTCCTACCCAAATCTCACCTAAATAATGAATGAATGTATTATGACTAATAGTGAAACATCACAATAAATTCATGCAAAGACTTAGATTTACTATCATACCTGTGTGGGGGCTGATGCTAAAGGACTGCTGCTTGTTACCACTGAAAATGCTGTAGTTAATGCCCCTGCTGGATCCATCAGGATAGTGAGCCTGTATCTGAACAACTGCTGTGCCTATGAAAAATACATGACCTTTCTTGATTAAAAGGAAATTTTCCATCAACTTGGCATGTATGAAACACTGTAGTGATGCACAATACGTCATTACCATATCGGTTAACATTGATGTTTTATCATAACAGCCAATATTGGATATTTAATCATGCATCTCATTTCCCTTATTTTTACATTTAGACTACCAACATCTAACACTCACAACATTTATCATAAAAACTTGAAAACTTGGGCATTAGCCAAAAATGTGTTAATATTGCTCCATCTGTAAAAGATTCATATCCTAAACTAGGCATCCACTTCCAATTTTGGCAGACACTTGTACCCAAAGCAACTTACATTGCACATGAGACGTGCATTTTATCAGCTCATGCATTAGTCTCTCTGGGAATCAAACCCATGACTTTGGTGTTGATATACTCTCATAAAAAGGTACAAAGCTGTCACTGGGGCAGGACCCTTTCAAAATGTGCTAATATGTACTTTTAACGTACTAATATGTACTATTTAGGGGGTAAATAAGGTACAAATATGTACCTTTTAGCTTTTGTACTTCAGGGTACCAGCATAGAGACAGCTTTGTACCTTTTTTTGTGAGAGTGTAGTGCCATGCTCTAGATTGAGCTACAGGAATATCAGTTGGATATCACTGATGTACAGCAATTTGACATATCTGTATTGGTTTCCAAGGTCATCAATCGCACCTTTAGCAGCATTCTCCTGCAGGCTGACATCCCTGGTGTTGCGTGAGAAACGGATGCCCTGGTAACTCTGCTCTCTGATGTACACGATCACAACTCCCAGAGAGGACTGCAATGGGTTACCCTGATCCATGGCCTCCACAATGAGGGTCCGCTGGTTCTGAGTCATCGCGTGGAGCTTTTCGGTGGCCTGGATGTCCCCAGTCAAGGAGTTTATGGTGAAGCCTTTGACTGGATTCGCAAACCGATAAAAAACAGATCCATTTGCACCGAAGTCTTTATCTTCAGCTCTCATGGTTGCCAGCACCTTGTGGTTGGAGAGACTACTGCTGGACACATTGATGATGAGCGGGTCTGTGAGGAAGAAGGGGGCGTTGTCGTTTACATCTAAGATGTAGATGGTCACTTCAGCAGAAGTGTTACGGGGGTTGGAGGCTGAGGAGTCCATGGCATAGACTTGGAAGCTGTAGGAGGCTACTTTTTCTCGGTCGAGGGCTGCTGCTGTAATAATGCGACCTATGTGTTGGTCCACGATGAACATGCCTCTGGATTCGCGGCTCAGGAAGTAGACCACCTGACTGTTGGACCCTTCGTCCTTGTCAGAGGCTGAAACCTCCAGAACAAGAGACCCTTCCGATGCATCCTCAGATACCTCCACAGAGTAGCTGCTGCTTGGGAACACTGGGCTGTTGTCATTTAGGTCCAAGACACTGATGTCCAAAGTGACAGTGCTGGTGAGGGATGGTATACCCTGGTCTTGTGCCTCCACAGTGAGGGTGTACTTTGCTTTGGACTCTCGGTCCAAAGGCCTGGAAGTAGACAGCACACCTGATTTCCTGTCCAGGTGGAAATCACCAAAACGGTCTCCGTCTGAGGAAAGAAAGATATGAAAATAATGTTGTCATCTGGCCTGTTAGTATCTTCCCTCTCTGGGTATACGCAATTAAACAATATTAATCAATTTCATCAACGCTGACCTGTGAAGGGTGCAATGTATATTATATAATTTTTTATTCCATTTCATAATTATATCCTGTAATATAATAAAAACTTTTTTTTCTTAAGTAAGAGAAATAAATAAAAAGTTTCTTTCCTTTAAATTATTACTTTATCAAATGAAAAAAAATATATATATATTTAACTTTGTCCTCACAGGAAGTAATTAATTAAATCAGTTTAAGCAGAAAATAATAAAGTATTCATAACCATGACAGTTGGGTCTATTTTCCTGTACATATGTCAGTACAGGCTGCCAGATAGTGTTTGACTAACTTTTGTGGAATGATGCGGAATAATGAATCTTTTCTGCAAAATGATACAAACTTTTTTTTTCCGTTTTTTATTTAAAGAATATTTTTATTCAGTATAGATGCATTAAATTGATCAAAAGTGACTAAAGATATTATAATTATTATTTAGCAGCACAACTGCTTTCAACATTGATAACAAGAAATGTTTCTTGAGCACCAAATCAGCATATTAGAATGATTTCTGAAGGATCATGTGACACTGAAGACTGGAGTAATGGCTGCTGAAAATTTGTCTTTGCTATTATATGAATAAATTACATTGTAAAATATATATAAAAAAAGAAAACAGTTTTTTTTTCTAGTTCTGATGAGGTTGTACTAACTCTTGCTACAATGGGGGAAGGATTAATCAAACTATAGTACACTCTCCCAAAAGCCGGTCTATTGTCATTCTCATCCAGCACTGTGACGCGCACTGTGGTCTTGGCGAAATTGGGAGGAGAACCACCATCTCTGGCATACACTGTTTATGAGAGAGAGGTTATAAACTGGCTAAACAAATCCGTGCCCAACCGTGACATGACATTGGCAGAAACAAAAAAACTGCAAACTATGCTATTAAACTATTTAGTTGCAATTAAGCAACTGCATTCTATCTGAAGTACCTGTAACAGCATAAACCCCTTGGACTTCCCTGTCCAAAGCCTTGGTGGTGGTTATGACTCCTGTCACCGGATGAATACTAAAATCATCTCCTACAATACTTCCGTATGTAACTATTCCATTGGGCCCTATGGAAAAAGCATAAAGACATGATAAGAGATTCATTTACACAGTTTCCTTGAATGCAAGTCCAAAACATCACATCTGAGAAAAACCCATCATTCTTAAGAGGCTGTGTTCACTTTGCACAATGGACTTTTCTCACGGAATGGGTAAAAATGGCGGCGCAGCCTGTTTTTATTTGTTTGTAGTTAATACTGCTGTCTAAGCAGTTGGTCTCAATCACCCTCCCCCTGGTCTTTGGATAGTAGATCGCGTGCAAAAGGCGAGCAATTTGGCAGAGTGTCATCTGTTTACCTCGCTAATTGTTCATGGAGAGAAAGTTTATGGTCCTTCTATTTTATTTGCCCCTGAGTATGTCCAAGAGAATGCAGTGCTCCCTCCCACCCTGGCATCAATTAAAACCACACACTCTTATTTGTGATGGGTTTGGCTGTAGTATCCAGTGTTTTTAGCGAAATGTTAGCGGTAAACAAACAGTCGAGTCACTTTTACAACCTCACAAGGTGGAAATTTACTTGTCTCACTCCATGCGTGCGTTCACAGACAGTACCGTTTAATATCAAACAAGTATATCTGAGGCGTTGTGTGGCAGAGATACAGAGGAACGTAAACAAAATGATTAGGGCTGCCAATTAAACGTTAATTTAGTGTGATTAATTAAATAAAGAACATAATGTGATACTAAATTAACGTAATTAATCATGTTCCTGACTCATATGTACATTCCATAATATAGGATTTTCCTACCATCAAGATTAATTAAAGATTAAAGTACAAAATGTCAAGTTTTTGTGAGTCCACAGGCAACGTACCTTCCCAAACCACATTTACAGGGAGCACGTTGCACAGAACGAATAAAGGAGACATGCAAAACGTGTTTGGCTAGATAACAATATGTTTTGGTGAACTACTTATACATTTGACACGCCATCTTATAAATGCGGCACTTGTGACATTAGTCTACATCAGGGGTCTGCAAACTCGGTCCTGGAGGGCCGGTGTCCTGCTGAGTTTAGCTCCAAATTGCCTCAACACACCTGCCTGCAAGTTTCTAGTATGCCTAGTAAGACCTTGATTAGCTGGTTCAGGTGTGTTTAATTAGGGATGGAGGCTAAACTCTGCAGGACACCGGCCCTCCAGGACCGAGTTTGGAGACCCCTGGTCTACATGCATACATAGCAGTGTTGTTAACTAAAAATAAAACTATTAAAAATAATTTTTGTTAATTGAAATAAAGAAATAAAATATAAATATTAGAGGAAAAAATTTCATTTACAGAAAAAAATCCCAGAAAACTAGAAATGTTGCCTTGCCAACTAACTGAACTAAATTAAGTTGAATTACTAAAACTACTAAAAGCAAAATAAAGGTAAATAGAACTATAAAAAAGAATCATATTAATTAAAAAATCACAAAACAAAATATTAAAACAAATAAAAATTTAACTGAAATCTGAAAATATAAAAATTCAAATTGCAAATATGAATAAATACTATAATAGTAAATATTACAAATATTAATAAATAATACTAAAATGACACTAGATGAACAACCCTTTAGTCAACCATTTAATTTGTTATATTTAATGTATTATTTTCTAATTTAAATTGTTATTAATATTTATAATTAAATTAAATAAATTAGAATTAATTAATCTTGAATTAATTACATTATATTAATTAAGCAATTCATTTTAATAATTTTAAATAAAATAATTTGATTATTTATCAAATTAAATAAATATATTAATTAAAAATAATAAAATATTTTTTGACGAAAACTATCAATGCTTCATAAAATACACCACCAGTGCCCCTTATACAACATACCTGGCATGTTTATATGTTAGGCATATATATAGGAGTATTTTACCTTGGTCCAAATCAGAAGCTGAAACCACAAGCACAGTAGTTCCTGCAGGCTGATTCTCTGCAATAAAAGCTTCATATTCACTTTCCTCAAAGTATGGTGCCTCATCGTTTACATCAATCACCTGGATTGACAGTAACTGGGAGCTGCTGTGCTGTTGTAAACCATGGTCTTCTGCCACTATGGTCAGGTTGTAGAGGTCTTGCTCTTCACGGTCAACTGGTCTGAGAATAGACAAAGACCCTACAGGGGAAATAAGCAAAAGTGTTAGGCTACCATATGATGAATGTAACAAGCATAGTGTCTGGCATTTCTCTTGAGTGATCGCCTGCAGTTTAAACAATTACACAATAATGAAGCCATGATGTAAATTGTTTAAAGCAAAACCACTCGCACTTAAGCAAAGCCTCATTCACACGCTCGCACAACGAATGATTTCCATCTTGTAGCACACTTTGATCTTGCTTAAGCAACATCACAGCACGAAGAGTTGATGCCTTTCTGCTGTCTTAAAAATGAGTGGAAGTCATGCGACGTATTCAAATAATAATTTTTTTTCCCTATGCAAAGCCCTCCCTACCTGAACACTCGCTGAGCCACTATAACAGCTCAACTATCTGGCCGCAGTTTATGACTTTTTTCCACAGCAAACAGAAAGAGCGTACAAACAAGTACTCTAGACACGCAATGGCCCAGCCTACCGTGCCCTCTCAAATTTGGGGGTGCCAGCGCCCCTGTCGTTATCCTACCACAAGCGAGCGGCGCTCCTATTGATCCAATCAATTTCATGCTTTTAAAGAACCAGACGCAATGATTCAAAGCAGGCTGTAAAGGCATGATGGGAACTGAGACACTAGAGGGTGTTTTCGTTCTGTTTCGACTTATTTTTCCCTCTCTTCTATCTCCATAATGCTGAGCTAACATGCCTCTGAGGTCTTAATCTGGTTAGAATTACTAGCTCGAATATTTTCAGACAATTTAACTCCTCACCAGTCATGCTCCGATAACGTAAGGGGAAACCAAGAGGAAGAAAGATGTTTTGCTTTTCTATTCTCATATTAATAGTGGAGGGGATTCATAATGAGCTTCCCAAGCAAGTGAGAGTTTGACCAGTGGGTTTGTCATTCATAAAGCAGACAAATGTTATTTTAAAGAGAAATAACACCCCAAAATTAACGTCCTATGATCATTTACTCACCCCTATGTCATTCAAAATCTGTAGGATTACAAAAGTTTGGTATGATCTAGTTCCATATTTTAATCAATTCTGGCCCTTA